GGGGGGTGGGGGAACCGAAACGGGTAAGGAGGCGGCGCGATTCGGGTCATAACTCATAACAGGTTATACAGGGCGTGCCTATTCAAATCTGGCGACAATTACACTGGCAAGGAAGAACATGAGCAACGATAAACAGTTCGAATTGTGCGTAGTTTGCAAGCTGAATCATAATCAAGGCCGCCGCCATAATTTCCTCCCTAACCACAAAAAATCGCTTGCCGCAACTCTCTCCCGCTTCCAATCGAAGCTTTCCGATATCCGATTCTTCATCAAAAACCCTATCCCTCTCCGCCCTGAGCATGCCTCGCTCAATCGCCTTTGGTGCCTCTTCTGCGAGTGTGATATTCTTGAACTGGACAGCTTCTTCGCTAGGTACGCAACGACTACTTGCTGCTGCTTTTCTGATTACCTAAGTTATATGTTCCTTTTTAGATTCTATTGTTGTTGGATATAGCGACAATGCAATTAGGCATTTGGCTAGTGCGGGTCATATGAAGAAAGTGAAAGGGTTTTTATGGAAGTATGGTGGTGGAATGGACAAGGTTGATAACTTGAGGATTACTAAGGCTGACTTTGCCAAGGTACTGTTGATATATTTCAGTTTTCACATTTATCTTCTTACCTCAAATATATGCAGTTGCAACTATACCTCAATTTGAAGCTAGTTGAAGTCAGCTAATGTTTTTTCTCTTGGTAGAAATGTAGGAGTATATTATTTGAGCTGATAAAATTTATTGAGAATTAAATGTCATTCTTTCAGATACCAATTTCATTAGAGCACGTCACAGTCATTTCTTGTCTAAAATTAAAATTTACATTCTTTATTATATTATGCAATGCATATATGAGAATTTCTACTAATCTTGCACTGGGTTTTTCCCTTCAGCGTTAAACCTTTTCTTTGTACAGTTGTCACAAATTTCCCCCTCAAGATTGGGAGGTTAGGATGTGGTGATTTCCTGTGGTTTTTCGTTATATTATGATGATTGACATTATTAATAGACAATAGAATTTCCTTTTGAGAAATGCGTCTTCTAGATGAGATTTCTGATTATTTAGAATTTTAGATGCAAGAGGTGAATGTTAGTATTTCCCAGAGTTGCTGAATGTAATACTCGCATGTCAAGTTGAACATATACCCATTTATCTATCATCTTAGACTTTTACTTTGTTTAGACGCTTGATTTCCCATCATTTTGAACCTTGATGAAGTCATTTTTGCATTCATATGTGCAGTGGGAGAAGAAGTGCAATCTATTGAAGAAGGGAGCTCTTGATGGAGGATCTCGTGCAACGTTAATTGGACCCTCGAATGATATCCAAAATAAAACAAACACCGACTATCTAAATTGTTTTGACAAAGATAATATTCATGCTCTTAACCTTGATGTTTCAAATAGTGTTGTACCTTTACAAAATTATACTAATGAGAGATCTCAGATATCTGAAAACGAAATGCGTAGTGTTACAAATGGCCCTAATTTGCCTGGTACGTGCATGGGCGGAAAGTTCGGTGAAGATGCTTGTTCCTCCAATGGCGTGGCAAGTTAGTGCCTCATAGTTTTCTCTTTTCATATGGTGATGTGATGTTTCTCTGAATGCATGTTTTGCTTGCTGACTGTAAGTGATCTTGTAAACCTCTTGTTGCACAGATGGCCAAAATTACTCAAGGTTTCGTGACACAACTTCTCACCAATGTCTTAATGGTGGTTCTGTAAGTCTATTTAACAAGAAATATTTGCTACTTGTATTTTCTGTTTTCTCTGTCTCTGCATTCTGCTCTCTTGCTGGTCTTAGTGTTCTTTACTGGTTCTACCCAATATGGATGTCCAAATTTTTTCTTGTTAGAAGTGTTTCCTCATCATCTAAATTTCTTTCTGGTTGATGTGTCAGGTAACCCCGGATGGGAGAATGACGAAGGGGAGGAAGATTTCTCTGGGTATTGATCTCTCTACTATCTGCATAATTTTCATTTCATACACTTTAGTTGAGACTATATGTTTAGTGGTGTTTCTGAGCTGCCTTATCCTTGAGATTATGTTGGACGTCCTATATGTTTCTGGGTTGGTTATTGTGGTGCTTTGTTTGTGTTATTGGTGTCTCTTCACCTATTCTATAGTTGAAGAATGAAAATTTCTCCTTCTTCAGGTCCTCCAAACATTGCACAGATATCTTTAACATTTCGAGAAAATTCCCTTGGCAATGTTCATTCTGGTGCACCTCCTCCATGGTTCAATGAGACTGAGAAAAGTCATCTAGATTTTATATCAAATCCCGGAGGGAGTGACCTTCCCCCTCCCAATAAGAAGTCGAAACTAAACCCAAATCGGGTTGGTGCTGCTTGGGCAGAGAGAAGAAAAGCTGAGATGGAGTTGGAGAGTAAAGGGGAGCTTGTGACTTCCAATTATGATGTGAATTGGCTCCCAAATTTTGGCAGAGTTTGGCAATCAGGTACTAGGAAGGAATCCAGAAAAGAATTTCAGGTGGAGAATAACAAATTTGCTAAGGTTGAAAGCCAGTCCCAGAGTATGGTGCAGTTACAGCCTTATATCAGTAAGCGAAAGGTAAGCTACTACATCAGCATATAGTCATTTGCTTCAACACAATAAATTTCCCGAGCTCTTTATTATCACCAAAATGGTCCTCTAGCTCAGCTGCTCTTTACACTTCAGAATGAACTCCGGTCATGTATACTGAAAACTATGTTAGCATATATGGGACCCTAAACTGCAACTATGCTCAAAGGTTTAATATGCCGATAACTTCTCTAACATTAATCTGCAACTTTGCCGTAAGTGTTTCACAAATTTCAAGTATTCAGATTCTATTTGGTATCTATGTTTGAGCAATAGCGTGATGTGTATCTTCTTTCAAGCTGACTCTTCTCCAATTACCTTGATATTCTTTTAAGAATATCATTATGTTTCTTCTATCACAGCAATATGGACCTACTTCCCTTTCAGATTCGAAAAACTTGCTTCTCCATTATATGGCAAGTCTTTCATGCTCCAACAAATCAAACTAATGGAAAGTTTTATTATTAAACTGCTGTTTCTAACTTCAGCTAATAACTACCAATCGTTACCCCTTAATTTCGCATTTCAAAATAATATGCTAAACATTTCTTTATCAATTAAGTTATATAAATATTTTTCTTTACCACACATGTCAAATTATGGGACAGAGGGAGCAATATGCAAGTCAAACTCCTTTAGCTGTGCCCCTTGTGAAACATTATGAAAATGAAGAGGACAGACAAATGATCTAATGATAAAGGTTTTCTCAGTTCTATGCTTCTTAGACGTCTACATTCTTCATTTGACCTTGTAAGAGCAGTGTTCCCTGAGTTGCCATTGGTTGTGATATACAAGGCAGTTGTCTTAGTGCTCTTTCTGAATAGTTGATTTATCTACTTCATATAGAACAAGTGTTTATTGAAACAAGACTATTGATTCTTACTTTGTAGTCATAAATATTTTGTTTATGACATTCGTATGACTGGTCTTTTTGATTAATTATTGCAGCGCAAAGATACTGTTGTTGATGAGCTTGACTGACCTAAAAACCTCCGTACAGTGGTAAAATTTTAAAAATTCATGTGTACATTCTTCTTGATTTGCTCTCCCAAGCCAAACTGTCATATTTGATGCTTTTAGGTTTCCCATTTGGTATGAGCGGGGCAACTAGATTGTAGTAAGCATCCATGGTCAAGTTACTAGAAAATTGTTATGTTAATATAGCTTAGGAGGTCTTGGTTCTTTTTGTAGTTGTTATGTGATGTTCGGTCAAAAGTGCATATATTTTCCCATTGTTGCCTCATGTTCCATTACTTTTAATCGTCATTTGAGTATTAGTTATATTATTTTGTGCTTAATATTATGTTTTAACTATGTAGGAATAAAATGGTATAAAGATGAAAAGATGTGGAGCAAAATTGGATAAAACGCCGTAGAAAAAGAAAGAAAATTAAAATAATAAAAAAAAGGGGACACCCTTTGGGTCTTTGTCCCCCCCAAGTGAGACAACAAAATACTAAGTGTCAAAGCAAAAGAAACGCAGCTAGGAATAAATTGAAAAACGCCACTGTTTTCAGCGCTAGGACCAGCGCTGGCCTGGACGCTGGAGGCGGAAGCTTTTCCTATTTTATTTGGGACAAGGTTATTTCGGCTCTATACAGTTCCAACTTGTATAAAGGGGGTCCTAAACCTAATTTGGAGTATATCGAACATACTTTGAAGGAGAATTCACGTGGGGCAACACATACCACGCTTGGAGGAGGCTTCTAACTAGTTTTTCTTCTCTTCCTTTAATCTCATAGTTTATTTGTTCTAGAGTTTTGGGTGATACATGAACGTTGTAGTTTGAAGCTTGAATTGTTCTTATTATTTTATCATATTCGTTTATTTATTCAATCTTGTACTTAATTATTTGATTGTTTGATCACCAATTGAATACTATCTACGAATCTAGGGTTGAGCTCCGGAGAGGAATATCTTAACTCTTAGGGAGGGCGGATTTGCGGTTAGGATAGGAATATACCTAATCGCCTTGCTTGATTACTATACAGGAATTATCAATGTGTTCTTGTTAATTCTAATTCCATAGGAATATAGGCGTTAGATTAGCTTGAATAGGCGAGTTGTACTTCGAGTGAAGGCTACGAGCAATATTAACCATGTCAACCAATAAACCAGATAAATTAATTAGACGATTTAAGTGGAAAATTCAACGGGATTGTTACCCAACCCATAACTCTAGAATATTCACTTACATTGAATTCGTGTCTGTAATTTGCCAACTTGTTTTCTTTAATATCTTAATTTTAATCTCAATTTGTTACTTTGGATTAATTTTAGTTAAATATTCATATTTTAGGATTCGCTTGAATAAATTAGTTGTTTGGTTTAATTTAGTTGATAGTTAATCATAAGTCCCTGTGAGTACGATATCTGGACTTACAATCTTATATTACTTGTCGACCGCGTATACTTGCGTGTGCGTTTGGGAGCAACATTATGCAAAATATTTCGGGCGCAGGTTGCCTATGCACAATCCGTTTCTTGTATTCGTGTCTTTAATAGGCTCAAAGCTCCATCTTTATTCATATTTGCTTGAAGGTATCTTATATCCTGTTTGGCCAAGCTTCTCAAGAGGCCAAAAGTGCTTTTTTTCCCAAAAGTACTTTTTTTTTTCCTAACTTGACGTATTTGGCCAAGCTTATTTGGGGAAAAAAAGTGCTTTTGGGAAGAAGCAGAAGCAGTTTCAGAGAAGCAAAAAAAAGTAGCTTTCCAAAAGCAGAAGCAGTTTTGGCTTTTCTTCTTATCTAAAATACCCTTAACAAAATATAGTATATACCAAAATAACCCTTAAACCTAATACTTAGGATATTAATTTATAAATATTTCTTCTTATTTTTAGGAAAACTTTTTAATATATAGTGACTTTAGGGATGAATGTTTTTATATTTGTTGAAGGAATTTTAATATATTTAACTTATATTAAAATAATTAAGTACTTTTTAATTTTATTTTCATATTTTACTTGAATAAAATGAATTTTTTTATTAATTATTGCATGTAATAACAAAATTTTGAGATTATTTATTTACTTATAATATTAATTATTAAGTAAATCTATTCATGTCCTTATTCGTAATTTGACAATTAAAAACACTTTTTAAAAAGCTTGGCCAAACACAAATTATTTCTCAAAAGTACTTTTCAGACTGATTAGCCAAACACAAACTGGTTCTCTACAAAAGCACTTTTGAAAAAAGCACTTCTCAAATTAAGCTGATTTTTCCAGCTTGGCCAAATAGGCTATTAATCTCCTGCTTGTAAGTCATTTGGGGTGAATGTTGAAGCGAAACTCCCTCGAATTTTGATAGTTTCCTCATACTCAACTGCAGACTGTCTTCTAGTGCATATTAATACCATGAAACTCATATACCTGTTATAGGCGTCAAAACTATGGGATTCCCTTGTAGATTGTTTTGATTTTTTCTGCTGCCTTGGTTCTTGTTTACCGGTCAGGCAGTTCCAGCCTTCAAGGGTGGCAAGAGTGGCCGCTGAACAGTATGTTTCTTGTGTTATTGCTCTCTAATTGGCTCTAAAGACCTGACTTATTAGTCTTACCTAAATTACGTTGTGAGCACGATGCTAAACAAGTTCTTTTGAGTCTAACGGCTTGACAAAGCTGAAGGTAGATTCTGGGCAGAGGATTGAGGAGAGGGAACGTGAAGGGATAGTTTCTTTTCTTTTTCTCATTAGTAGGCGTTTATTTTTATTTATCTTAAGCTGTTCTAATGCAAAAATAAAATTTTGTCTCTCAATCTATGAAGAACTTCGAAGAAAATATTAGATGATTGTTTGACCAAAAGATATCGAAACTTTTTTGATTAAATCAATTAATGAAGATGAATAGGTAAATTTCAGCCAAGCATAATAAAATCTAAATTAAAAGATGCAAGGGATGAACAAGGTGAATAATGCTTCTTAATATGTCGAAACCAAACAATTAAGCATAAATATAACAACTTCGAATGTAGAGAAATATTGCAATGGATGCTATTGACCAAGATAAAAAATGATGCGGGATTCCAAAACTATAATAAGCAAAAGTTGTCTTTTTTGTATTCACCCCCCTCCCCCCTACAAAGTCTTCTTCCTCTATTTATAAATGACACCCCTCTTGAACCTTAAAAAGTATAACATAAAGAATATTCGAAAAACATATTCCTACTGTCTCCTGTTGCGCCTACACTACTACAAATATTGTGCGTTTACTAACCGTTGTCAGTCGTCACCCTTTACAACGACCAAATGACGCTGCGTCGTAAGGGCCTCGTCCCTCGTCGTACTCGTCAGTGGTGTCACACCTCCTTTTTCCGCACCCGATGGGGCAGGGGGAGTTTTTTCCAATTAAAGGACAATCGAAACGGGATTGGTTTAATTATTTCAGAGTCGCCACTTGGGAGATTTAGGGTGTCCCAAGTCACCAATTTTAATCCCGAATCGAGGAAAAGAATGACTCTATATTACAGTCTGCGTACCAGAAATC